ATGGGAAACGGAAGTGCACTAGTGCTGGTACTTCACTTCCGTTACGTCATTTGGAGTCGTCATGGCTCATGATTCCGGCGATTCCTACATAACTGAAGGCTCATCAAATTTCTCATTCATAGCAAAATATCTCAGATTCTCTATAACTCAGATAATTACCCTGGATGTTTCCTCTATTTTTGCATTAATTTTATTACCTTTTTTCTTGATCAGAACGGCATATTGGGTGTATATCTAATTATTGTATTTGTTGGGAATTTAGATTTTAATATCAACCAAAAGGTTTCCTCCTAAATTTAAACTTTCCTAGAGGTCAAAAACACTATCTATGTATTCAAATTGGATATGAATGTGTGTCCGTAAATATAATTTAACTGGAGTTATTTTGGCATGATTTTAATGTACCGGTAATTGTGCATAAACCAGCTCAAATGGGTCATTGACTAAACATTTGTTTTTCCCAAATGTTACTCTTGAAAAATTACATCCTGTTAAGCAGTATCTTTAAAGGTTATGAGGAAAAAACTGCATGTTTAATAAAATTCCTATGTTATTGTTATGGAGTAAAATAACAAAATTTAAGTTAGTTTACTTGTTTGTGCGTATTGATGATATATTTTTGATTAAATTAAATTTAGCAAATTTAGTTATTCCATACATCATACTATTCGGCACACCACTTAACATTAAACAAATAAATATACTTTTTTCCTTCCCCCTAGCAGGAAACCTAAGTACTCGTTAAACCTAGTCAAAGAAATATAGGATATGACCTTAAAAAAATTGCAAGAAACGTTTTATTTTGTAGTTTTGGGTGTGCAGAGTTTTGACATAGGGTACTAAAAGTTTCCAATAATCGGTCCACGGGAAACCCCCTAAAATCACAATTAAATATGGCGGATTTTTCCAACATTGGACAAATTTAGAAAAAAATACCATATCCATTTTTTATGCAAAGTTTCTGAGAAATTGACTTGGGACCGCGGCCAATATTTTTTAGGTGGTTAGTACTTCATTTCGATAGGGAAAGCGGTTTTGCCCGCCATATTGGATATAAATATTTTTTTTTATGCAATAATAATAGTGTTGTGACCCATCATTATAAACTTGATATTCACGCAGATTTCAAATCTTTTTTTAAATATCTTTTTTCGTTTTGATGATATATTGAATCGAAAACTCTCCCCCTATATTTATTATGGACGTTTTGTACTTTGATTTTTAATACTAGGGGCTTTTCCGGGGACCGATTTTTGGCAACTTTCAGTATGTCACTCTGCAGACCGAACACCACAAAATAACCCATAAAACGTTTTCTTGCACATTTGTTTAATGATCCCTGTGTCTTGTGTGGGGGTATTGTATAAGCAGTTGATTGACTATCAAGCTTAATTCCAATTATTGTAATTATACAGGGTGTCCTTAACCAATATTTTAGGGCATTGTTCCTGAGTAAGAAACATATATAAATATCACATTAAAATTGTCCGGATATCCTTAGTTACTCACACAGGCGCCATTTTTATTACTTATTAATTTGTTTCTAATAAGTGGTTAAAGATACAATATTGAAACTTTTTGCAAACATTTATGACAACTAGGCAAAGCTTCAAAAATATTAGGCCTATGAGATTTTTCAAATTCATAAAACAAAGTGGCGGCCATTTAAAATGTTGTCTCTTAATAACTCAAAAACAGTTTTACAAAAGTTTAAAAGTTTTGATTTCGTATCTTCAACCACTTTTTGAAAAAAAGATTATAAGTAAAGAAACAAAATGGCGGCTGTGTGAGTAACTAAGGACTTCCGGACAATTTAACTATAATTTAGATAGCCTATGTTTCTTATTTAGGAATAATGCCCTAAAATATTGGTAGAGAGATCCGAGACACTCTGTAGTAGGCTAGGGCCTATATCTAATTCAATATTCAGTAAATTAATAATTTTTTGCTGTCACTTTAAGCCATTTTAAATATTTTATGATTTTATATTCTGTAGGCCTATAAAAACAGTTTAGAAAATGTATTTAACCTTACACCCTATACAAAAGGTACATAGGCTATTATAAACATTTACAAATATATTTGGTTAAAAACACATGCAAATTTTACATTTTAAATGGCCAGTAGGTAGGCCTACAACATAAACATGCTTGTAAGTTTTATGATTGATTTTATAAAAGTCAAGGTCAAAGCAGTATTTGTCAAATTATTATCATTCTTCAATAAATCTGTCTCAGGAAAACAGGTCACAGTTTTAACTAGTATATTATTAATCTCTATGGTTGTTTAAACAATTTTCATGACTCTTTGTTTCAAATACTATTGGACCATGAATGCATAATTTCACTTTATTTGGAATATAACAGTATTTTTTCCTCATTATCGGTCTTTACATACATACAGTCTTTGATTTATTTTTATAAAATGATTAATTAACTTGAAAATGGCCTTATTTGTTTTAACTCTATATTGCAGTGAAGGTAACTTCTTCTTCTATCCTTTATATCGGCAATTCAGACGAACCTTACTCAAATCATAGTGTAGACTCTTCAGAACTTTCCAAAACAAAAGGTTTAGTGTCTGTGAGGACTAGTGTGCAGTTATGCAATACTTATGATGCTCAAGAAGTGGTAGCATATTTAGGAAGTGAAGGTGAGTTGTTTTAGATTTAAATATTTTTTTCTGAATTCAGAGGGCTCAAATTGATTGGACATGGATGTAAACATGTACATGTCTAGCCTATTTGTTTGAAATTGTTAACTCGTTGTCTTTTTTTTTTCTTTTAAAAACTAATTGTAAACTTTTTTACAATTTTACTCTTTAAAACCACAGTTTTCAAAACTATCTGTTTATTTGGAAACTATACCGAGAAGAACTTGTTATTATAATTGTTAAGCAACCTGCCTTTTGGCTTTAACCAACCCTCTTACCCCATTCTATATTGTTTAAATGATTACTGTAAGCAAAGTACCTTTAGAAGATAAAGGTAATCTTATTTTATTTTAATAAATGTGTTAACCACATTAGAATTAAAACCATTTGTTATCACTCTATATTAAAAAATAGCCCATTTCCATACAGCTGAGATCTTCGAAAATCTTCAATTTCCATACACCAAATAGTTATTTGTGCAACTAGTGAGAAAAGTGAGCAATTGACTCACTCGAGAGAAATCCTTACTCACGAGCCGTAGGCGAGTGAGGAATGGTTTCTCGAGTGAGGCAATTGTACTTTGAACTCGAGTTGCACATTATACTTTTCCTACAATTACCTAAAAACAAATAAATTGGTGAAGAAACATAACCTATTTTTACACAGAAGTGAACTTTTAATATAACATTTAATGTGAAGTGACAAATACAACAGTACAACAGCTGACCAGCTGATTTACAGCCAGTGCTACCAACGTATTTTGCGTGCATACGACGTTGCCTGCATGTTACGCGCTCACTATTTCGTGCCTTCACGTTGCAAATCTGGAGTGAGACAAAGTAATTAGAGTGAGACAATGTTAACATTGTCTCACTGATGAGCGAATTGGCCACTTTGCTTTCTCAAATCAGTGAGAGAACATGTACATTGTTAGGTAACTGTAGGAAAAACAAATAGTGTGATCAGCTGACTTTTCCTGACATAAAAATTACTTTTGCTACACAAACAATACTTTGCCTGACATCAATAAAGTTACAACCAGCAAAATTTTACACTAAAATAACTGTTCAGCCATATTGGGATTAGATTAGAAAGATTAATAGAATACAAAATATCAGATAATTTTGTAAGTATAATGAAGTTGTTTTTCATTGTGATAAAAAATATTATTCAATACTCATCACAAAAGTCCAATTTTTGGGGTTGGTTGTGTATGGAGAAAGAATTGTTGTCGTCAAAATTTTTGAGATTCATCAGTTGCGAGTGGATATATCCGTTTTGGGTTCCCCTGGACCCAAAAGTGATTAAAGTGATATGTGAGAAAGTATGTGTCAGATTGCTAATACCGTTTATTTCTGTATGTATTTTTTAACACTACTTTGAATTACAGTACTCTATTATTTGGGGAATATTCATATTTAACTATTGCCATAGTTTTCCACCATTCAACAAAATCCACCATTGCCTTTTGTTTAAAATAATGTTCTCCTTTTTGCAGTAACTGTTGGGTTAGTAGGGAAACTAGTGACAAATATACCTCTTGTTAAATACAATAGTTGTGCTCTCTTGAAGACAAAAGCTGCAATCATGCTGTGACACAACCGGTCCTTCAGTGCTCGAAGACATCTTTGTGTTGTTTCAAAAGATTTAGAAAGTTTGCGGTAGTTAGTGTAGTACTGTTAGCTATTTTGGTAACAATTATCTAAGTGTTTTCCTTGTACAGTATCTTTGTCCCCTCTGTTTGGGTTCGATTGGAAAGTATTTGTAAAAATCGAGTTAGACTAATCCAGGGAGCTGAAATATTGTTATTGAAAACATTATACTAAACTTATTTATCCTACTAAATAGTTACAGAATGTCTAGTACAATTCAGTAATTCTGGTGAAATAAATGTATTTGTAAATGTGGAATTTTTATACATTTACATATTATACATTTATGTATATTAAATATTATGTCATGAAATTAGGAAACCAGTAAAGTAAAATTAAGTGGGAAAAATGTGTGTAATATTTGTAGTTTTATATGAACATTTAATTTTATAGGAAAGCATTAATTCATTGGGATCCCTGCTGTTTGTGGCTTTTAAATCTAATTATTACTCTCTTGATGTCTTAGTATTTCTAAACCCATCTTTCACATTGTTTCAGCTATGCTGTGAACTTTCCTGTAGTGTTTGGTATTCCTAAACTGAAATTTACCTGCCAGGAGAGTTTTTAGCCTGGATCCTTCATTATTTTTTACCTAGAACATTCTGCACAGTCCACACCATTTCCACGCCACCTTTCAAACTTTAAAGGAATAACCCATTTTCAGCTTCTCTTAAAAATAAGCAAATTTTGTTCCAGATGGGTCAGATGAGTCGGTCCCCAGATCTTACGAGAACATTGAGCCCCATGATGAGACAGCTTACTGTGATGACTTTGATGACTCCTTCTCAGACTCATCGTTTGACCAAGAGACCATCACTCCTAGTGTTCAGGTCAGTCACATTTTAGACCATTTATATATAAAAAGATACATTTCCAAGGTATTTTTTGGATATTTTGTTTTATAGTGTAACCAGTGCTCGATTTGTAAAAAATGAGGTGACAAAAATGTAACCTATTTAATAAGATAAAGTATCTCTTTATGTCAATATTTTTATCTTTCGAAAAGAGAGTTACCAGAATTCTGTACCGCCGCGTTCCCCTGCTAATCGAGCACTGAGTGTAGTGTAACTATTTGTGAATAAAGTTAAAAATTATTGAAGAAAGGTTTAAGGGAAAAGTAAATACATCATGATTAAGATTATAGGAGAGTGCAGTTTCCTATTCAGAAGTTAAGAAGTTTTATTTTGCACTGTTCAATTCTATGATGCCCAAAAATCAGTGTGAATATTCGAAGTCTGTACTGCAATGTATAAATAAGGAAATCGGCACAAATTATTACATACTACCTCAATACGTCTAATTTCCCTCTTTTCTTTTTAAATTAAAAAGTAAAATTTTGTTTTAACTTATAAGTCATGTTCAATTTTTTCTACTTATGTACCGTACAAATTATACCGGAGCTTAGGGCCTACCTTCCAGTGGTGTAGTCGTAAATTTTCTCTGCCGCTTGCATTGTCTCAGAACAAATTTTGGGTCGCATATTAATGTATTATCATTTTGGAAAAAGCAGAGTGGGGACGCCGTTCCCTTGTGCTCCCGCCGCTCTACACCACTGTTACCTCCATTCTAATCCAAGGTAAATATTATGATCATGGGTGAAAAGAAGTTAAAAACAAGACGATTCGCATTATTCAAAATTATTTATTCGACAACATTTTCAATGTAAAATACTCAATTAACTTGTTACTCAATTAGCACTAACAAGATAGCCCAAAGGTCTATCAATAACAATAAAGTGGTTTGCCTTGTAGTCGTACAAGGACAAAGATATTTGATTCTGGTCAGCGGCTACATGCCAATTTTTCATGATTGGTCTGTCCATGCTATTTATTTCTACTTTGATTAGATGATTGACCATAAACCCTCAATCTATAGCAATAAATAAAAATTTTGTTGGTTGAGTAGTAAAATATGGCATAGGTACCTTAAATTTATAGCAATACAAGTTCCTATCAGGTTGAATAAAAAAAGCGTTCAGCCACAAATAAAGAGTACTCAAGAACTACAAGCTGCAACCTCAACAACAAAGATAATCTAAAGATAAATCACTATTTCAGGTGGAAGAGAAAAAGGCGGCCCCGTTGAGTGAAGGTATATACGGCCTGATGAAGCAGGCTGGTCAGAGGATGCGTAAACATTGGCCTTTAGGCAAGAGTCTTACACGGATGGGCAAAACCAAGAGCACTTCTAGTGGTGAGTAATTCTTTTTATACTGTTTCTGTTTTAAATATGACAAGTAACCAACATATTTGTATGTTTGCTTTGCACTCATCTTAGCATTTAAAACATATATTACTGTAGCAAAAACATTTTAGAATGTAAATTTAAATAGAACAAATAATACTCTAAATTAACTAATTATCTTGCTTATAATAGCTATTCAGAATAATATAGTAAAGACCTCCTTTGCATTAATTTTTATTTTCCACCAACAGAATGTAACTTTGAATGTGTAAACTTAATAATTTTGTACACAAAAGTAACAGAATATTGATAAAAGAAACAGTCAAGTAAAATAAATCTGAGATTATATGTTGATCCTTCCTTTGCTTATGGTAAAAAGGTTGAATAGGGAATAGAATTTTCTTAAAACAAAACTAAAACTGTCAACTATCATAGGGAAAAAACCTGCCATTTTGGAAAATTTAAAGGGTGTAATTACTAAAATAAAACACTGAAATCCAGATATAGCTGGGTAGTTAAGTAGTTATAATGCTTGCCTAGCAATTTGAAGGTTCCTGAGAAAATTCAACTATTGTATGATGATTTGAAACTGTTATCTATCATAGATCATAGAACTAGTCCTGGGATTAATAAATTTTGGTCCCTAACAAAGCTACACAAATCCACAAACCCATTTCTTTATTTACTATGTTAAAGTGAAAACACCCAATTGAAACCTCATCTTAAATGGCAGCATGTGGTGACATACTAAATTGACTACACTTGTGTATTTCTTTTATTGATTTTATTCGTATTTCAGTCCAAAGTGTGGCCAACCTGGGGCGTCGGGGTTGGTCTTTCAAAAGTAGAGACAAGCCTTCCACAGCCCAGTCTACCTTCTATCTCAACTCTAATACTTTGACTAGGACTGACTCTAAATCGTAAGTTACCGTTAATGTCTCTTCACCTCCATTAAGAGTATGAGTTATTTGCTTCTAGTTACTTTATGTTTTAAAGAACACTTGGAGCTGGAGAATCTAAATGTCCACTTCTGATAGCTTATCACCTCATGATGACAGTCATTAGTTGTAAACTGTCCTCGATAATTACTTTTATCTTGCATTCTGGGACTGTCCCACTGCTTTTGAGAATCCAATGTGTCAACTTCTTATTATACATTGTCTATGATAGTCGTTATTGAGTACATCTCTTGCTCTCTGAATTTATACCAACGTGTGAAAAATATATTGAATTATTGGTTTATTAACCATTAGCCAATATTGCAGTACTCTGTACTCATTTATATATTTATTAACGGATACACCATTTTTACAAGAAAATACAGAGTGTCTTTGTGACAAATGACTGGCCAGTACATAAGTAGTGAAAATACTGGAAACAACAAGATTTCAAGAACAAGACATACAAGATAAAGTTAGATAACATAAAAAAACTATTCACTATAAATAACTATCAGAACAAGTCAACAATACAATAGATTCTCAAAAACAATACCAGTACCGTATGACAACACAGAACAATAATGATAGCAATACAGTAAAAACCATGCAACTTGAGCAAATACATTCAGAACAATGTTGATGAAAAATAGATAAATACTTGCAGAAAAATAACAATATGATAGACTCTGTGACAAGAACGAAATAACAACAGGATAAACTCTAGGAAAAAAAATATAACAATGCAGTAAATAAAAAGCTTAGGAACATGAATTTGATGCAGGAGAGCAGGTGGAGTAGGGCAAAGGCAAGGAGATGAGCATTTCCCTCAGCAAAAAGATGCTTCATATTCATATATGAGTTGTAAATAAGACTAAACTCATAAGAATAGTTTTTTTTAACTGTCTAACAATACAAATTTTTTCATAAAATCGTTTGATTTGTTAATCCTTTCATTTTACTCACTCAAATAGATAATGGAAAAGTGATTTCTTGCAGTATTAAAATAAAACAAAAATAAATCAGCTACATCAGTCTTTCAGTATATACAAAATTAAAAGTTATGTTTTCGGTATTTGTTGTTCATTTAATTTTGGATTGTGATTAACATAATTAACTAATATCACTTTATTTTTAGCAAAACTAAAATGTTAGGAAATTTAATTATAATTCATTGTAATAGCCCCAAAACTGCAATAATAACAAAATGGGTTTTATGACGACTCGTCAATGACGTTTGATGAATGTGTGTTTGTATTTTTGAAAACCTACAAAGCTAATAAAGCTAAATTAATGTATTTATTCCCTGGAGTGAAGTGTCTTGACGATGGCACTTCGCCGATACTTGTAACACTATTGTTACTTTTGGAACTGCATGACAGAAAATAATAACCCATCTAGGAAATTTAAATGAAGTAAAAAAATACCAGGTGATTTTTTTGTTCCTAAGAATAGCCAATTTTTAATAATAAAAAAATGCCATAACAATATACAGCATTGAAATGTATAATCAGCTTGTAATTATGGCATGTTATGGATTTTTAAACAAGTTAAAACATTTTTCAGTGAGACAAAAGTAGATCCTCGTAGACTGAGTACAGCTTCAATGTTGGCTCGACCAACTTCTCCTCCTCCACCACCCCCTAGAAATTCTGTTGGTAAGTAAATTTTACAAATAGCTCATTTTGAAGCCCTAATACCTGATGAATAAGACAACATAAGAAACGTAATAAAACCTTTGCTTACACCGGCAGCGGTACCGGTATTTGCTAGATTGTGTGTCATAGTGTAAAAATTACTGCTGCTACCCTTAGAACTTAGAGGAAATAAATTACACTCTGATTTAAGCTTTGATGTTTTTGGATGTGTTAAAACAATATATTTGATACCCCAACACAAAGTTTTTGCTTGCTATTGAAAATAATTTTTTTTTAATTTTTAAAATTTTGAGGGTTGCTTTAATTTTGACATTTGCTTAACAGAACCATAATAGCATCCTAAACTGTCAATTACAAGTTTACAGTGTTAAACTAAGTTCCTCTCTTGTTAACTATGTTAGAACTTATTGATTAATGCTAAAACAAAAGTAACACAGTCTAGGATTTTCTAACGATATGGTCCACAAATTAGTTTTCATTTATGCTAGACCATACCGTAGAGGAAGCGTCAATGTTCACTCGTTAATTATTACCACTGTGTTCTACGGTAAAAGGAGGAAAGTGCGTTTATGGTCTGCTGAACTCAGAAGAGCATCCTAGTTACTTTAATTAGCGGCAATTAGTCACATTTCCCTGATTTAAATGTTTCTAATGCATACGGTTTTCTCAAACAAATAGTAAACTAAAATGTGTTTCGTGCAGATGAAAGCAGCAGAAGAAAATCTGCACTGAATAGCTCAAACTCTTCGGGAGACAATGAAGGATATATCGGTAGGTTTGATATCTAAATTCAAAATAATAAAAAAATTCTGTTTTCACCACACTACGATGTTTTTAGCTGTTTTACAAACGTTAATAGAAGACTGGAAGCTAAGTTTTGCTGTCCATGCCAGCTGTCATTGTCATTTGGGGGCCGAGTAGGTTTTACATCACTAGGGCTGAAAATAAGCAGTTCGCTTATTTACTTAAAACATGAATGTATATTAAATACACAAGCAGTGCATTGCAATAGACTTGTTTTATTGTGTTGCCTGACAATATTCCTGCTTATTTATTTAAATATTTCCTCACATAACCTTAAAGTTTTAGTTGTGTTGACTATTAGCGTGCATTTATTATATATATTTTCTCTATTATGTATTGTGTGCGGAAAAATAGTGTTTGTGCCACGCGCCAAAAGGGTTTAGCAGCTCTCAATCGTTTTAAGTTCTCGACTTTGTCTCAAACTTATCTCGAGTCAGCAAAACCTCATTTTTGGCCCTTAGGTACGAAATATCAAACATACTATTTCTATTGATCACAATTAATTGTTGTAATTTTGGCTAGTATAGTTGTATCAACCAAAATTGTTATTTCTTTGGTTGATTATTGCTTAAGCTAAACAAAAGAGCAAGTATTCAGCTCAATTTCTTAATTAAAGCATTAAATAAACATGTTATCTCATAAATCTCTTATCCATTTGGTTTTCAGTGTCAGATTTTTGATGTGGCTTAATGTCCAATAACATGTTTTTATTATGATATTTTTTCTCTCATACGTATATTCCCTAATATGCACTGTTCAGCTTCTTCAGTACCTAAAATGTAATATGGTCCTGTGTATGAAGTAAAGTGTGTTATTTCCAGAAGGCCAGCAAAGGTTGTCTCGCAATGGTCATGGAAACAGCATGTGGTACATTGAAACCAGCACGGACACTGCTTCAGAGCATGGTAATGAGGATTTTGTATAGCATCCAACCTTTGGTTATCATTATTAGCCTATATTAAACATAATTTTCTTTTGCTATGATACATGAATAAGTTTTAAGATAAGTTTTGTTTGATACAATGTTGCCAAAACCATATTTGATGTTAGTTACAGACTGCACTGTTGCATCAGATTATTATTGTGCTGCCAATTTAAGTAGATTTTGTCTTATCATTATGGCCTAGTTGATTCTTTGGTAGGTTTAATTTATTTATTTAAGAACTACTGTTGGATGTTGCTTACTATCAAGAGAAAAGATTTACGTTTTCAAGGCATTCCCTATGGTTGAAGTGTCAGAAGATCGATAACAGTTTACTACAAACAAATATTTGGGATTTTTTAGTTCGTAGAAAAAATTAAAAGAAAACCAGTAGTAAAAAATAGTCCTGTTTGTGAAGTGGTCCGTATAGGAAATGCTCAACATGTAAATGTTTAGATGTTTAATGGCCATGGAAAATCTACCTTTAGTATCAATAGTCTTTGTTTCATAATACAAAAGTGTAAAGGGTGGTTGCAGGTAGAAGAAGTATATAGAGATGGAGGTATTAAAAAAGTAAATTGTGTCTTATTTTTGATCAAATGACATCAATGAAAACTTCTCTTTTTTCAGGCTCCAGTCAAGGCTCGGATCTCAACCTCCGTTTTGCTGATGAACCTTTGTACCAATTCTATGCTGAAAACATTGCAAAGGTATGCTTAGTTCTGTGTATTTGCTTCACTTAAACTAAATTTGTTAAACAAATCTGTTGCTAAACATTCTGCGGATTTCAAAAATGTATAGGATGGTGATCAAGTTTTTGTTGTAGACATGTATCAAAATTATTTTTGACACTTGGATGGAGAGTGTTTAGTGAAGTCTTTCTTTAGCAAAAAGTTCACCAAATTTTTACAAATGATTAAAACCTATTCCATTCTCTCTTGTCTATGAGTGATTTTAAATACTTTACTACAGGCAGTATTGGTAGGCTACTATTAGGTCTACTATAGTCTGTCTTGTGAAACGTTATGCTGGCCTATCCGACCATCTATTAAAACAACACAGCAGTTTTAGTTTTTTGTCCTTCAGTAAGATGTAATGAGCAAGAGTCTATCCTGAGAAAAGAAATTCAAACATTTTACAGCATAGGCTACACAAATATTAGAACTGTTCACTGTCACAAAATTTAAGTATCCACAAAGAAATGGTTGAGTGTGAAAGAGAAATTTACCTGACCATTGGCCTTGAAGAAATATCTCTTGCCAGCTTAATCGTCCCTAGGTTGAAAACGCTGTAAGTGATCTAGCTCTATAATAAACAGTATAGACAATAGACAATAGACAAATTCTTTATTCCTTCAACAATATACACATATTGTAATAGACATCGTCAAACTTAACAAGCAATAACAAAATATCAAGGCAACAAATATTTGTTCTGTCAAAAGATACATATAATACATAAATAAATGTCACAAAAATACAATATCTAATCTGTCTACAATAAGGTCATCTTAACTTTGCAACAAAAACTCATATTTCATAAATTCATCTATGTCATAAAAAGGATTTTTTACTAGCCAGGAATACAATACTTTTGCAAATTTTCTTTCTGATATATTCAGCCAGGCTTTTGGTAACTTGTTAAAGAACTTAAGACCTAAATAACTATGGTAACTCTTTGTTTTGGTTAATCTACATTTTGGTAACTGTAGGAGATGTCTATCTCTTGTTTCATAGTCATGGAATATGGCTCTTTTAGGCAACGATGGATAGTTTTTCTTTACCAACATCAGAACATCATATATATAAAGATTAACAAAGATTAAAACATTAGCTTCTACAAATAATGGTCGACAATGTTCTGACGGTTTAGCATTCATTATTATTCTAATTGCTTTTTTTTGTAAGATTAAAATTCTCTCCATGCCTATACCATTTCCCCAAACTGTCAGACCATATCTTAAAATACTTTCAAAAAAGGAAAAATAAGACATCCTTAAACACACCTTAGTTACTTGTCTTTTTAAATTAATCAGTAAATATATTATTCTACATAACCTTTTACAAACAATATCAATCTGATTTTTCCATGAAAGACTAGCATCAATACTTATACCTAACAATGTTACAGCCTTATTTACATCATCATATTTTTAAAAAAATATACAGTATATTTTTGCCTTGTACAGATGACAATGTCAGAGTTGTCTGACAGAGACAGTGAAGGCTATGAGGAGATCACTCCTGGAGACCTGAGCAACTCCGTACCCTCCGCCCTAGATCTGGTGTCTAGCTGTCAACATCGCTCCTTGTGGTGTGAAGTTCCACTAGTCCGCTATAGCGGGGTTCTCGGTTAGTAGATTGCACCAAATTGTCTTCTTCATAATATTTCTTTGTTAACATTAATTGATTCTTGGCCATGATAGCTATTGTGAAATCAAAGTCAAATTTCGCCCCTTTTCACTTTGTATTATTCAAGGGTCATTATTCTGTTTCTGAATTCTGAAAAAAAATTATTATACTTCAGTGTTAAATTTACTAAAAATAATCAGTGCAAAAATAATTTCCAGATACGTTGAGCCAATCCAGAAAGAGGTTGCAGGAGGCAAAGTTTGAAGTGATGACTTCAGAGGCCTCTTACTTCAAATCACTCACTGTTTTGGACAAATTGTTTGCTTCTTGTCCTCTGTTCTGTGATGAGAACATTCTGACTCGAGACGATAAGATAACACTATTTGGCAATGTTGGAATAGGTGAGTTGTAGTCTGAATTTCCCGAGATTATTTATTATGCTTAGAAAAGATTTCAGTTATAAAACTGGCTCTGTTGAACTAATTCAAGAAAGTAAGTTACTATTCTGTACTTTGAAAGTAATCGTATTTATATTTAGTACATTTTAGAAAAATTCCCATGTAGGGAATAAGCTATTACCGTAGTACTCATGGACCTGGACCCAGGACCGATCTAATTTTTCGTTTTACGGTCCCTAGAGGCCAAAAAAACCATTCGTTCAAATTCATACATTTATATATGTCTCCGTTAGCAAAAATGGCAGGAATGCATCCTTCTCACAGGCATCAGTGACGTTGGGTAGACCCCAGCCGCCAGCAACGAGTCTGTCTGTTCCTCCCTTGTCTATTAATTAACACTTTAATATGTCACTAAACTAATTATAATTTTTTCCAGTTCGCAAGTGTTCAGAAAAGCTGTTGTTAGCGTTGCACTCTTGCTGGCAGGAATGCATCCTTCTCACTGGCATCAGTGACGTTGTTTATGATCACATCAAGTCTGAGAGACAAGTCTACATCAAATATTGCACAAACCAGATCTCAATGGACCGAACACTTAAAAGACTTAAGTAAGTAGTACATGGCATTTTTAGAAGTAATCATACAAAGAATTTACATATTTTAAAGTAAAGAGGATGCATTAAAAAACAACTTTTAAGCACTTAAATTTTTAACATATTAAAAAATCGTAGTTGTAGTTTTGAAAGTGCAATAAGACAACATTTAGGGCAATGGAATACAGCATTTGTTTATCATATCAAAACCAGGTTCGGAAAGTTTGGATAGCACTGAATATAATAATAATAATTAACTACTGTAATGTTGAAAGTCAATAGAACTGAAGTCAGTTGAAAAAAATATTAAAGGTCTTAAGTTTTTTCCCTTCTTAACAGCCATTAATTCGTTTTGATGGCACACACAAAAAAACTGATAAAATTAAAACACTCCTATACTGTAACCGTAAAATATAAGATAAAGCAATACTCATCTACTCAGCCAGAGGTTTCTTTTGGCATAGGAACTAAAGCTTTATCAGTGGTAGCAGAGAGGTAGGCTGATTGAAGATATAAGGGGTTTTTACTTGTGGTACGTAGCCCCGCTAAACAAGCAGAATGTACATTCAAGCTAAGCTGTGCAGAGCCTGGATTGTATAATCCAAGTACAGACAGGGGTGGCCAAGGGGTTGCCTCAATGTACTTGCTGTGATTTATAATCAGACCACCGAATCGTTCTCAGGGAGGTTCTAGTAACTGGAAAGGTTGTAGGGCTGAGGATCAGCCAAATCTTTACTGTAATGTTGAAATGGTATTTTTTCAAATCTAAGGAGCCACTATATTCAATTGATGTCTCTTATGCAGATGAGAACTAGTTCTTGATCTTCCTGTTATTTTATTGCAGACAGAACAACAGTAACTTCAGCACAGTGCTGGCCCAGTTAGAGTCAGAACCTCAGTGCCAGTCACTGACTCTCTACTCGTTCCTGATGTTGCCAATGCAGAGGATAACTCGCCTGAGGCTGCTATATGAAACCATCCTGACACTTGTAGAGCCCTCTGATTCAGAATACACTTCAGTCCAAAGAACTCTTGAAGTTCTCAATAAGGTAATTTAATTAATATACTTTTTATAAATTAATTTATTATTTCAGTTTAGGGTTTGTCAGGATTATTCCAAAGACATCTTCAGTACATTTTTCAAACAAAGTCAAATGGATAATATTATTTATTTAAAAAAAAATGTTTTTCTTTTCCGAGTTCGTTTGGCTCTTCTACCCGACTGATTTTCATGATTGAGGTCTCAAATTGAAGGTATGCACGCACAGATTTGCCATCAAGCATCGGCATATATTTATTTATCTATAATCCCACTCTGCTTATACGTAAACAAAATTTGCTCCCCATGTATTTCTTATGGGAGTAAAATTTGGTTTTTCTTTTCCGAGTTCGTTTGGCTCTTCTACCTGACCAATTTTCATGATTGGAGGTCAAAAATTGAAGTCATGCACGGAAAATTTCACATCAAGCATCAGCATATACTTACCTACCGTATTACTCGACTAAAAACCATAATTTGATTAATTTGCAAATATTACATCAATTTAAGATGTATTTCACCACTTATAATTATATAATCCAGCCTATGAACTTTCAGTGAAATATCAGCTTTTATTTAAGCAATTAAGATATTGTATTACTCAATCAAAAATCTAAATTTGATTATTTCTTGGATATTATATTTATTTTAACGCTGCTGAGCAGCATGGGTCCTCTAGTATTATTTTATGAATAGTAAGTAAGTAGTCTGTTCTAAGTTAATATTCTAAAATCAGGTACTTAATTTTTGAAGGTTTACTTTCTTAATCTTTCCCACATGCTGTATCATATTAATGAATATAGTCTATGTATGTTTATTGCAGTGTGTTAGTGAGTGCAACGAGGGAGCCAGGAGTCAAGAAAGGCATGAAGAGATGGTCAAATTGAGCAAACAGCTTGACTTCCCTCCAGAGGTTAGTTTAAGTTACGTTAGTCCAAGTAATCAACAAGTTGTCTGTATGACTCTCCAGTTTTGACATCTATGGCGTCATTTTCAAGGTGGTAGAGGTAAAATTTATTGAATGATATATTTTACGTCTTCCAGCTTGAAAACTATACCATAGACAATGTAATCGGTCGCCATATAGACAGACGACTTGTGGATTAAGTGGGCAGAAAAAGGTAACCTCTTGTAGATAATTTGTGAAGTAACCTAGAAGGCAATACAAAAAATTATGTCATGTTCAGGTTGTTAATATTGTTTTTTTTTCAACACAGAGCCAAATAGAAGGCTATATTAGACAAATTGATAACATTTGTTGAAATATGAAACTTTTTTATGTACAGGTTCTAATAAGTTCTGGATGTCTAAAGTTGGACCCTTACAAATTTACTAAATAATAATTGTTATAAATTTCAAGAAATTTACTTGATTGACTCAATATTGCAATACCTACTGTTTTAAGATAGCTGTGGCAGCCCAACAGACAATGTATGACTCCAGCTAGGAACAGAATCATGAATACTAGGACACTTCTGCATGGTAGATTTCTTTGTGTAAAACACTCTAAAATATCTCGTAACTGTTAACAGATGGCAGTTCCCATACTGGAGCCTGGCAGTGATCGCTGGTTGGTCAGGTCTGGTCCCATGGTGCAGATCAACCTTGATGCCAAACAAACATTCAGCAGACGACTGTCACGCTCCGGCCCCAAACTGACGTTCTTCCTCTTCACAGACCTACTGCTTGTCACAAAAAAGAAGAGGTGGGTTGGGAATCGATGTAGAATATGTATTTAGGTTTACATCCTAAAGAAAGTGGAAATTAAGATTGTACATTTTGACAAGCATTGCAACAAATGGTGATTGTGTGTGTATAATCATTGAATATTTTTTACTTACTACATTGGTTGTTTATCTAATAAATAATTGTTCCATAAATGTAATGGAGATTGGTTAAGAACCTAACTTAAAAGCAGACCATACATTTATAAGATAAAAACTTATTTGTTTGTGATGTCAAAATCTATATAAATAAAATTAGAGTTTTGTCTGTACATTGCTTAGAATAATGAACTTTTTGGTTATTTTTACATTTCATAGGTCAGAGAAACCGAATCAAACCTTATCTCAATTTCTGTCTGTCTGTCTGTCTGTCTGTCTGTCTGTCTATCTGTCATTCTCTTGGTAACGCTAAAATACGCACTTTATTACAACTACTCCTCAATAACTATAGCACTGTCCCGCCTGAAACTTATTTTCCAAATACTATACATATATGAGATGGTTTTAGACGTATTTCATCGAATATGAGACAGTTAGATATTTAACAGTAAACCCTTGAAAATCAAGTTTTTGTCGATTTTTGACGTGGAATTTCTGGAAGCCCATGTTAACCTTATGAGAAATGAAATTATTGAATCTTAACAGCTGTTTCAATTAAACAAGTTGGTTCTGTTCTGTGATGTTCAATAGCATTAAAGTTACAAGGATTACCAACAGGGTGCAGCACTAGCACTATTATTTCTTTTACATTTATGACAACAGCTAATTTGCAACCTGGAGGCGAGTGAGCGTAGCGAACGAGCTAACCTGAAGGCAAGTGAGCGTAGCGAACGAGCTAACCTGAAGGAAAGTGAGCGCAGCGAACGAGCTCCAACATACAGGTGAGTGAGCGTAGCGAACGAACTTCAACCAGGACGTGATTGAGCCATGCAAACGAGATCAGATAGTAAAAATAAAAGTAAGCCTACCGTTATAGGATCGACCGGCAGACACAGAGGTAATTTAACCTTTTATTGATTGTCATACCGATCCGGAACAACAAAAAACAACATAAAATGAAGCTATGTATAATAGTTTGGCCAGCATATCTTAAAATATGCAAACCAACTGCTGTTCGTTATATAAGAAGGTTTCAACTGAATATTATAAGATCCCCGTGCGTAGAACGGGTACACAGCTAGTTGTTATCTATTTAAATTTATTTATTGGGCGTTTTTCCTGGATAACTATAACTGTTTCCTATTCATTTAACAGAATTCAATTTAAGAACTCAATGGAATGGCTTATAGTTATTAATTTGATCTTTTTGTAATTTCATTTCTCTCCCTTTTCTATATGTTTCATATTATTTAAGTATGTTTAAATCTTGATGTATTTTAATAATGCTGCTTGATTTAATCCACAAATATTATGTGTCACTCTCTCGCCACTTTGGTTTTTAGAACAGAAAATATAATTTCCCTCCATTATTATTAACATAATTTATGACAGTGAGGAGAGCTACCAAGTGCTAGATCACTGCCAGAGGAGTCTGGTGGAGACAAGAGAGATTAGAGATTTCCCTGGATACAGCCGTAGTCTGCTGGGTCTGACCCTGCTGGAGAACGCGGAGAAGAAGACTGTGGACATGGTCAGTATGCTTGAATATTCATAAGATATTTCAGTAATGAAAAAAATGCAAGGGCTTTACAACAAGTCAAGTCGTCAGTTTGTACTTACAAATAATATAAATGTTCCAAGGGCTTTCAATGGAATTCCACATTAAAAATAGCAAACAAGCTTTCCAAAACCTGAAAATTGTCACTGCACCAAGCCCTGGGCTTTAAAATAGTTATTAGCTGAGTAGATAAGTGATTACAGTTATTTCTGTGAATAATATTTAGGCTTCCAGTCTGATTCTGAGGTACACCACTAGCTTTTTGACTTTGATGGTTATAGAAACATAAATTGGACTCAGCTGTGTTTGATCATTGGGTGTTTATAAATGATCGTGCTGAAAAAATCACTTATCCGTATCAAACCTATACAACGCCCATCCCACACTCGCCTTCCATTCCTATTCAAAAGTTAAAATACACTTTAGTTACATTCCTATCTCAATCTCACATTCACAATGGTGATATTGACAGTTCACATTGATAGTGGAAATGGGCTTTCTGCCAATGCACATAACACTTTGCATTTTACCTTTTTGTGAAGACTCATGCAATTTACAAAAACTTCATCCTCATGAAAAACGCCTCTTAGATATCCTATCTTAAAAAACCCCTATTTGAACAATGTAACTAACACAAGTTTTTAACTAAAAAAGGAAATTTGTTGGGGTAAAATACTTGTTCAACAAGATGGAAGTAGACAACCAAAACAAAGAATGATTCTGGTAGTCAGTCATAGCAATGCCCCCTCCCAATCATCCATTCTGGTGCCGCCCTCATTGTAATCTTTTTGTAAGGATTTTCCATTTTCACTCTTTCACACAACAACCTGTATATTTGCTACAGACGGTGAGTTGTGAGAGTGAGCCAGAACACCAGAGGTGGCTACAAGTGCTGCAGCCCCCACAGTCAGATCAACCTGGGGAGACTCTGTACGAGGGATGGGACTGTCCTCAAGTCACGGTGGTGCACGCCTACACACCTCAGCAGCCTGACGAGCTGCCGCTGTCACTGGGTGACGTCGTCAACGTGCTTAGGAAGACTGAAGGTGTGTACAGTGATGTAGAGCTTTATATAAATATCCTGTCCTCTCATTGAACAAACCATTGTTCACTTATTTACACAAAAAAGTCATAAAAGTGGTTTTTTTTTATAAATTATTCTGAGTTTAACATTTAACGCGTTCGCTGTGAGAATCCCATTGGCGGGGGGCCCCCCGTCATAAATCCGAGGCAGCCTCGGTGCATCAACGATCAGCTTACGCAACAGGCATTCAAATATTTTTGAAAAACTCACAGATAGCAGCAATGCCTGGATTTGTTGCCAGTGTCTTTGTAATGTGGCTCGAAGAGACAAAATTACCGATAACGGGACAAAAAGCGTTGCCGGACGGGATTTTTCGGGAAGTTTTACTACCAACCTAAACCCAACCTACACCAAATTAAAGTATAGGACCAGCACAACATGCTGACATAGTTTAGTTGATCCCCAATACCCAAATAAATGCGGAGGACACAGTAGACCAACTTGTATTACACTGCACCGTGACTCCTATACTGGAGTCATACGCACGCTGTGCCAGTACGGCACGATCAGAGTCGTCAGCAGCGAACAAGTTAAAAATTTAGATAAGTTTTTAAATTTGAGTGAATCTATATAATGTATGTTTGTTTGTATGTTTGTCCTTTATGGACTCCGAAACCGCTCGACAGATTGTAATGAAACTTTCAGGCATTATTAAGCATTATTCAATGATGGTTTGTGTAAAGTTTGGTGCAGATCCGTCAAAAGGGCTCCGCCCCAGTGGCTCTGGAGTTTCCCATGTTAACCTTATGAGTACTCATATTTAAATGGAATTAAAGAAAATTAACAGCTGGTTTAACTAAGCTATTTGATTCTGTGGTGTTCAATAGCATTAAAAGTTAATAAGTTTACCAACAGGCAGCACAATTATATTTTTTAAATTTATGACAACAGCTAATTTGCAACCAAAAGGTGAGTGAGCGTAGCGAACGAACTTCAACCTGAAGGCAAGTGAGCACAGCGAACGAGCTCCAACCTAAAGGTGAGAGAGCGTAGCAAACGAACTTCAACCAGGATCTTGAAAATGAACAAGCATTTGACATAAAAGCATAGGACAGGACGACGTCTGTCGGGCCAGCTAGTAACTCATATATTACATCTGAAGAAAGCTAATTAATTACTACTAGTGTACATGTTGCTCGAATTCGAGCAATTCTAAAGCATTACAGGAGTTATTTCAAAAAGAATAACAGACATATTTACAATGAGTTTGAAAGAGTCAACTCAAAGATCACCGGTGTGTAACTCAAACTATGTTTATCTTCGTTATTGATAAACCGCATTCCGGCCGGTTTTCTCCTTCTCAAAATGTCTCGCTGTGCAGGCAACACAGGTCATTGATAGAGGGCCAATTGAGAACGAAAAGTCGTTTTGGGGTTAGGGCCGGCGCATTTTTAACCTAATAGTTGAGATTGTCCAGGGTCAGGTGCTGACTTTAAGCCTATTACGCGCCACCGTTCTGTAGCTGCGGTCGTTATCACGATTGCGCCTCCTGTCTATGTTTCGTTGTTGTCACGTCGGAGGCATTTAAAAGAAAAAAAAAACAACAAATAAACAAATTATAGCTACACAAAACAACGATAAATGCACAAATTTAAGTAACAATCATGCTAACATGATCCGTCATAGCAATTCACAAAACAACGATAAATACACAAATTTAAGATACAACCATACTAACACGATCCGTCTTGGGGGTTATGTTTACACAAACTCAAATATAGTAAATAAATGTACTCAATGCGTTTCATAGGATTGAAAAATAAATAACAGCAATTAAATTATACAGCTGATCAAAATGTAAACAATTATGTTCGTCATAAGGATAACATGGGAACTTTAACAGCCACTGGGGTAAAGCTCAAGGAACTTTTTCAAAAAAGTAAGGCCAGTTTGCAAATGTACGCGACACGCTCTTTCCAATGAGACATCAACGGATAAAATCGGTTAAGAAATGGCGGAGGAGTTCGACCGACAAAGTTTCATGTAGCGTATTAATTATATAGAATGACTATTTATGTACTAGGTAGGGTGACATTGAAACTCAGAATATTGGAAGACTGAGGTGATATATCACCTTTGCTATAAATAATAAATATACAAAATGTTGATACATTGTTTCTAAAACTCAATTGCATTAAGTTTAAGTTGAATTCTGTCACGTTTTCAGCAATTGCATTTTTGGAACTTGATCTTTTCTAACTTTTTAAACCCCCTCACAAGTGTATAATCAATTGTATTTAATGATTGGTCTTGTTCCTCATAGGTTGGTTCTACGGAGAGAGGACTCGGGACGGTGAGAAAGGTTGGTTCCCTGGAAATTACTCTAGGGAGATCGCGTCAAAACATGTTCGTGCAAGAAATCTTAAGCAGAGGCACAGACTTTTGCAGCTTACTGCGGACTTTGTTCAGCAGCAACGAAGGGTAAAAAGTTGACTCAGCTAAATTTCTCCCTGAAACCTATTTATCTTAATTTTAAAACCATGTTTAATATCTGTAAAATAGCTGTACATATCTTAGTGTAAAATTGTTTAATTAACGCTGTTGACATGTGGTTTGTATATTTGCTGTAGAGTACTTTAACTGAACTAGTCAACAATATTATGTTTTGTTAAGTGTTATTTTAGTCTATCAAAATATGTTGAAAATCTGTTATTGTTGATTTAAATGCTTCTGATCTATGTTTGTGATTGTTGACTTTGTATTGCCATAATTTTGACGTTCGAATGTTGTGCATTTAGATAAAATTTGTTGTACATTTATAAAAATTAAAAAAGTGCCAAAGAATTGTTATTTGGACAATGATATGCATTTTTAGGTATCACTAATTTTGAAAATGTCACATTTAAGTATGTTAAAATATTTCCACTTTTTATTATTGGTCTATGATTGCATTAAATAATTGATTGGTGTACCCATTTTGGGAGACCATTGTATGTATTATATTATTTGTTTAGGTATGAAACTAATTTTTCAATATTTATCCTAAAAGGAAAAAAAATGTATTGTATGATAACAGTAAATCTCGCCTTATATTGAGAGTTATTTTGCGCTAATCGGTAAAGTCACTTACCATACTGATCTAATCCTGTAACTAATTGAAGTTATTTTTTTAATTAAAAATGTTTATGGTTACTGAATGATAGCAAAATACCGATTCTTTGATAAAATATATACCGTTTTATACAATTAATTATGCATAAGGATAATTTTCTGAATTCAAGTAAGTTATTTAACATGTCTATCTCATCAATAGGAAATAAGTGAGAGAGAGTTTGTACTTATTTTTGTAATATTTCCTGTAAACATAATACTGAACTACATTCCATTGATTACTTTTGTATACAAATGTGTTGACCAATATAATAAAAGTATTTTTCCAATGACATTTGAAAATTTTCAAGATGTTTTCTGACTACCTAATTCCTATGTCCTTTTAAGTGGGATGTTTTTTTTTACTTTAGCCTATTAATAAATTAAAATGTTTTGTCAGCCTAATAATTTAATTTTTATAATCTTACTACCACTATCCAATTTTTAACATAGCACTTGCTTATTTCAGTATCTAAAATCATTATAGGCCTACTGTTTTCTTAAAAAAAAAAAAAAAAATTAGAACTCGTTTACTAACTACAGTAGTAGTAATCTGTATCAAATTCATCGCTTTCCATGCAATCATGTGTCCAAAATCATTAAATGTGAAGGTCGAAGGTTAATAATTTACACTTCCAATTTATATCTTTAAATCTTTTCAATCTTTTTTGTGTTTGACTTGGTAGTTTTCATCCCAGCAAATATTGAAACAATAAAATGTCCAATGAAGCAGTGAATTTTTAAGAGCAGCAGTTTTTTACAAAGTATCAAGAAGTCGGATTACAATTCTGAAGTGTGTTGTAAAGTTTGAGGCTTTCCTGTTTTACAAAATCTTTTTTCCACAATTTTCATATTTTGTCTTAGGGTGTGATTCTTATTTCATTTGTATTAAAAGCTATTTAAAACCCAAAACTCATAATAAGAAGTGTGACTTTGTTAATCTTATATAACAATTAAACTTTAAAAAGAAGTATGGATGGGACGTAAAAACAGTAATTTTGAATTGAATATTTAATCAACTCTTGAGATCACAGAAATGTAGGTAATAATACTGAGTATAAACACTTATTATAAGTCTTTTTACAATATAAATGTAAGATATGTGGTAAATTTCTCATAACTTTCTTATAAATAACATATAAATATATCTTTTAAAATTTAATAAATCTTTAAAGGTTAAAAAATATTCAATTTCGGTATGAACAAAAGAGATGTAGGTCTAGACAGTGAGGCTAAAATACACTGGTAGCTAGTTTGGTAGCTTACCCTGATCTAATGTTTCATTAATTTCTGTTTTTTTATAATAAAAACAAGCAACTAATATAGAAAGCATCTAGGCATATAGATCGCAGGGCCGTTTATAGATCCCCCAAATAGCAGTCCCAGCGGGGGATTCTTAAAAGAAATTTTTTCTCTTAAAAAAGAATGTTACCGATAAACTGTAAAGGGATTTCTCAAAATTTTATTCCCACAAGCCACGTCTCCGAAGATTTCGTTGTGATGGTAAAAATGAATGGGAAAATGAGGCAGTCTCCCCGATATCGAAAGAGGTTCACTATCTTGCCCTGAATTTAGGAGACGTTCACAATTCCTCCCGATCACAGAAGATGTTTACGATTTCATTGCAACCGCAGAAGATGAGACCCATAGGTCAACATTTTTTACCCTATCTAATGAAATAGGTTTGGCCTGCAGACCCCTAATATTAAATAAAAAGAATAAAATACAATTATATTATTCATTGGCTAGTCTCTTAGTCTCTAGACTGATTCACCTATCGGATAGTCAAAAACAAATAACGGAATAAGGGTTGTAGTTGAATCAATACCAGGTATATTTCTAAGCCCATAACCTCTGCCACCAAAGAATTAGTTGGAGTCGTGAGCAGAATCCACATGGGCACAAGAAGCCTTCCCCCCATTGTCGTTATTGTTATTTTGTACAGTCAACTCCACAATTAATGGCTGTTGGATTAAATGAATAAGACTGTGTAGTGGTGTGACTCTCTATGTTCATGGGAGCCTTTCCCTTATCCCTCCCACAATATCCTACTTTGCATGATCTGTACTTAAGGCCAGACCGGGCATTCATCTAGTAAGCGAGTAAGCTACTATCCTGGTTAACAGAGTATATTTTGGCTCGCTGTGTGGGTACCCTTATTCTCATTAAAGTTTATAAGTTTAAAATCAATTAGTCTATTAAAACATTTATAGTAATTCAGACTTTTAAATCACTGAAGAAGGCATAGGATATGTTAGATGGCATGATATTTTAATACTTTAAAGCAAAAAAGGAGTAGAATGTCCACCTTTTGATTATAAACTTTTTTTTAGAATGTAGGAATTCAAATACTATATGTCTTAAGATGAAAGTAGAGTTATGCTGGTAAATTAATTCCAAGCAGAGTCAATGTCAAAAATATTAAAATTTAAACAAATCATATTGTAAAGAGGGAGGGGTAGAAACCTCTTGAAGAAATTAACAGTTTACAATGTTTGGTACACACAATCACTGACTTAGAAAACCAAAGTTTCAACAATACAATTGGCATAACACATGTAGCTTGTCTTTGAAAATTACCAGATAAATACCATCAAGTTATTTGTGCAAATTGCAATGTAAAACTAGATGTTGATTTATGAAAAAAACTCTTTTTAACTCTACATACCAAGTAGAAAAAATGTAAAAAGTACAGTTAATCTTTTGATGAATATTCTCCTATGGGTAACTCTGGTTGTAGACAAAGTGTTACTAATACAGTAGTTTACTTCAGTGGCGCCGGATAATTCTAACTCTGCGCCGGTCTGGTGAACCATCGTCCTCTAAGTCGATGGACATCCGGCGCGTGGCAGGGATACTCTGCTGGCGTTGAGGAGGCGGCCGGCGACCCTCGGGGATCTGGGCTGGGAAGGAGCTGCGCCGTAGGAGTGGGGGCCGGGAACCTATGAAAATCAGAATGATTACAGTACATTACGCTTTAAGGCCTAGTACATAGTCAATGTTTATGGTAAAAGCATGTTTCTGCACTCTGCGAGACGTACACAATTTTTGGTTCTCACTCTCCTTGGGTGCTGGTTGAAATTTGTTAAATATGTAAGTTATAGAATGACGTTTTAAAATTGTACCATAGATTTAGCAAAACCTTGACATTAAACAAACTTGCTTTTACACACATTAAAAATTAAACTTGACGATGATTCTTTAATCTAGCTTGGTTTTTGCAATATGCTTGAATATTTCTAAAATATAGTTACATATTTAAAAGTTTTGATCAAAATGTTTCCACCTTGAGTGCTGTTTTGTCTCAGTGCATCCGCCTGTTGAGAGTCTTGTCTCCGGATGTGACGATTCACTGTCAAGTCCACCAGTGAGATGCGTCGATCAATGACACCATCTCCCGTACCGGTACCACTGGTAGCAAACCCCTCTCCATTGGTCTGTGGAAATGAATCATTGTTAATCCCAGTACCACATACAAAACTCTAACACATCACACACACAGATACATCATAAATCACAGACATCACTTCAAAAACCACTTTAAGTGGGTTCAGGGGGACCCAAAACTTATATATATCCTCTCTAAACCCAAACTCGAAAATGTTGACGAAATCAATACTTACTATACTATGGTATAGGGGGAGAAAGTAAAAATTTTAGTTTCTTCAGCTTTAAATTATGTAAGAGACTTTCTATGCTTTTTTTATCAAATGTGTTTCTTTAAAACCTCATACTGTAACCGTATTATTATCCTATACAGTTTCATATAACTATCCATTGTGAAACCAAAAAGTGTTCCCAAATAATTATTGTGAATTGTGTCACTACGTCACGTTCTGTGGATAATCAAAAACTTATCATCTTATTTTAAATAGATCAAAATGCAAAAAACTTTATACTAAAAATAGGTCGTGATCAAAAGACTTGACAGAGAAGATGTTTTGTTATTAGAAACAAAAGTATTTTGTTAGTTAACTAACCAAAATTGGCCAAAAATATTTTTTGTATTACGCCTTGATGTCAATTATTTGTTATGTTTGTAAAAGTTTACAGACAGTCTTTTAGATGCATTTCTATATTAGATTTGGTAAAAGCTTAGCCTAGAGTTATTTTATATTTCTAAAGAAAGTATTTATTTTACAATATATGAAATATTGTCTATTTTACCTTCTCCTCTCTCCTAGATCTCTCTCTGTGCCATTCAACAAGACTGGCAATTGCAGAACAAACCAAAAGACTAATGATGAAAGAGTCAACCAAAGACGACCTAATTTCCTCTTCCGGTTTATCTTCCGTTGCTTTTGTCTCCTCTAATATAGTTTCCTCTTCCACCTCCACTGCTACCACTGTTTGTTTGTCTTCCTCAATCTCTGTTTTATTAGTTTTTGTTATCACCTTTATCATTTTGCGCTCAAAAGAACATCCATTTTTCAACAGCGTGAAGAGTTTCTGCGCTGAAGAACATTTTTTTAAATCCTCAACCCTCCTTGATTGTGGAACTTTGCAAAAAATAACTTCCAAATCATCTGCGATTTTGGGAAAGCTACCTTCAATAGGTGTACGAGTAGAGATGTGAATGATTAATACACCAGTGAGTAAAAGACACAATAAATTTGGAAAAGATACTACGGATGACATCTTTCACTGGTTATACAAACATGATTGGATTTTTGATTGAGTTTGTGTGCCCATTACTTATAAGCTGGTACCTGTAAACAATTGTATTGCATTACTTTTCTTAGCATATTAAAAATATTCGGAAGCCATTTGTAAGCAGATCAGAAAGGATTTATTCAGATTACAGTTGTTAGAAATCTATCACTGTAATTATTTTTTTTGTACCTAATACACAGTGCTTCAAGTAGTTTGTAGTTTCTAAAACTATTCAGAATACACTACCAGCTTGTTTTCTGCAAAGCATGTTCCATCATATCCAACCAGTCCTGTTACACAACTCTCTTTCTTTATAACAAGTTTTATTTGATTTAATCCAAAGTTTCATAATCCCTTACAACTGATTCCTAAATATAGTCTGGATTACTGAATACTACTGGATTACCTGAATTCCTTCATTTAGGACAAACAAAACTACATTTTTACTAGGAATTGGTGTTTTCTAAGCCTTGTTTAGTTAGGGCAATGTCACACACATAAAAATTATCCAATGCATAAAATAAAAATGTTTTATATTCCTGGAAAATAAGCTTTGTAGTAAGGTATAGGGTACATGTGATCGATGTATTATACAAATTAATATTAAACAGTGTAGTAAGTCCAACATTAAGCTGTAAATGGTAACCCTCTTCAATGAGAGTTGATGGAAGCCTTACAAACAAATAGAACATCCAGCCATTGATCCATTGATCCCCTGTTGGAGAGGGAATTATAACAACAATGGCTGTAATGGCAAGATTGTGATAAGCTCCAATCTGCCATCACACTGGCCACTGTAATTCCTGCTGATGTACAACTGACCAGTGTGCATGTGCAACATTCACAATGCAATTATACTGTTCATTATTAATGAAAAAATGATATTAACTTTTTTTATTTTAAATTTTACAATAGTAACTTAATCCTTGTTTGGAAAAGGGCAGGGTTTTCACTAGATGAGGTATGCCTATGGACTCGCCTTTTGCTTGCTGGAGGCTCCGCTCCCAGGCCCCTTTTTTATTTGAGTCATGATGGCATGATTTGGGAAAGTACCACAAGGAAAAAAATGTTGTCTGGGAATTTTTTATCTGCGTTAAAAACGTAGACAACTTAGTTGTTGAAAGTATTTCATAGAGAGGTTGTTTTTGGGAATATCAAACAAGTCTTGATATGATAAGTTAAGTTAGGTCAATACTGTCAATAGTCCCAAAGTTGGGGTTGGTGCTCTAATATTAAAATTTGCTTAGGCATCAACTTTAAAACTATCTCTTTAGTTCAATTAGCATATCGCAGGCAATAAAGTTACAATCGTAGGAGTCAGAGGGAGGTACCAGTATTTTAGATATTCTCAGGCCCCCTTGGGGGTTGGGGGTTAAATTCATCGAAGAATGGGTCCTCTTTGGAGGCTGACCTCGCTGTTACAAAATCATGAAAAGTTATTTGAAATGTTATTATTTTTGCCACTTGAACCACTTCCACAAGAGTAGAGGGGGTTAAAAATAAGTGGGGGGCTTTCAAAAGGGTTGTAGTTTTTTTTTTACGTTCAGCCTATCAAAGTTAGAAGAAAAATCCTAAAAACCTAGAACGTCTAGAAACAGTTTAACAAAAATTTTCAAAAAGTAGGATTCTGTGGGGGGGGGGGTTAGGTTGGAATTATTGGTTTTTATTTAACTTTTTCTAATTATTTATGCCAATGACCAACTGATCTGATCAATTATCCTGAATTTTATCTTCAATAGAAGTAGGTTAGTGAACATAACCCCCTAAGTCCAAAAACACAACAATCAAAAGGTGTTTTTTAGAGGTTCTGAGTGACGATAGCTGAATGAAGTAACAAAACAAAATGTACACAAGATAACGTTAAATTACTACTATGTTTTCATTTAACTTGTAACGAGTTATTTTTCCTAGGGGGGTAAATATTTGCTATTTGGCCGCGCACCGATTGTTGAGGTAGGCAAGCGGCGGCGGCGAACCTGGCTAGCGCCCTTTGACCCGGCTTATCAGTGCCGATAAGCCTGGGATATCCTAGTTTCTCAGGATAGCATAGGTAGGACATTCGAGTCGTGGATCCCAGTGAGTGAGGATAGCGTGTGTCTAGTGAGACGTCCAGTGGTGTACGTAGAGAGGAGTGCTGTGGTGACATCGGTGTCGTGTGAGGTTGGTGCTCAAGGAGTGAGTGTCGGCATTCAAGTTGGGTAGTGAAACAGTGACCCACTTGGGGTGAGTGGACGACGTGTTATTATATTTTGGTTTAAGAGAGTTAGAGAGTTAGAGTGGTAACCGTGCTGGTCGAAGCCTGACGGTAGTTAGGATTTATTAGTCAGGAATAATATTAAAGTATATTCCTGACGGTTCTGGGCAGGTGCTAGAGCGCAAATAATATAATTTAATTGACTGTAGTAGATATTATTTTGCGTTGTACCTAGAGTTAGTTATATTACTAATAACTCTGAGGCCCGACAAACCTAGGCTGCACGATTTAGCGTGCGTAGTTGGAAGCACGAGGCCAGTAGGCTAGTAGCTAATATTATTAGCCGATTAACAGAAGCCCAGCTAAGTAACATAAAGTTGGTAGTAGCAGTAGCAGTAGTAGGGTTGTTATTGTTTATTCATTTTATTATTTCAATTTAACCTGAACAGCTTGTTTGGTAGTCCAACACGTTATCTTGGTAGCTTGGATAGCGGAGTACCGGCTATCAGATAATATATTTATCTAGTGTTTGGAACGTATTTAATATTTATTTATCTGCTACTAAGTAGCTCAATATTCTAATAGGGCAATTGCCATTTAGTTTCGCTTGTTTGGCTTGGTATTTATTGAGACCAGCTACTAGTGGTGTAGTCACTCTACCTATAGTGTACTTGTATATTATTATGTGGTACGATTATTGAGTGAACTGTTAGATTCTTAGCTTGGGCATTAGAGTTGTGTATTGGATTATAGTGGCCTAGTAGACCCCGCCTGGTGATAACACGCGTTGTGGTTTTTATTGGCAAGTCGTCGTGTAACTCACCGTGTTTTAGGCACTCTGGGCTTAGCTATTGGATAGTTAGGACGAAGCCCGAGTTGCGTAGTCAGCAACGACCCCCTAGGAGTGTGGAGAATCGGCGTAGGCCTGGTAGTGATTATTGCACGTTTGTCTTGGTGACTTGTTTTTGACTTGTTCACAGTGCCCGTGTATGAGCCAGTCCTATACCGGTTAGACCCGGCTATTGGCCTAGTGGTTTCCCTGACCTTATCGCAGACCCTGGAATTTTACCCAGCCATCGTAGGCTGAGCTATCCCGGCAAACGGTGACGACTGCACTTTTAATATTTTTACTAGTGCAGAAAGCATCGTCGCAAGATGGCGCCTGCGAACAGGGACTGAGGTTGGCAGTGGTGCTGAGTTGCTGACGTATTAACGGCGCCCGAACAAAATAATTTTATTTGTGCAGATTTGCTGCGGACTTGTGCAGATTGGCTGCGGACCTCAGCTGTTGAGCAGAGTTTTAGGCAGACCTGCTGTGATTTTATAGTCGGTTGGGTAGGCCTAACCTGTTTTCTGTTACAGCGTGGTGTGTTGTGAACCCTAATTTATTTAGTGGTTGTATACATAGATATTAGTTAGTAATTTCAATTTTGCTAATTAATTGAGCTTTATCATCGAATATTATTTGAGTGAGAACCCTTATTGTGTATTTGTGGTTTGACTTTCACACCTATAATTGGTTTGATTTATTATAACGGTGTGAAATAGATTTTAATCGGTTTCGCTTTTTTTTCGGATTGGTCGTGGTATTTGGATTTTAAATATGGTTGTGACTACGAGTACGACGTCTGTGCTGGGCGGTACGCCTATTACGTCTGCTATTGCTACGACTAGTTCTGGGGTTAGCTCCGAACTGTCGGTGATGACGACATCGTCATTGTGGCCGGCGTCTTCGCCCGTTTGGCCGATAATTTCTTCGGTAGTGGCTACGACGGTGACAACTTCTTTGACCTATTCCGCGCCAGCGACTATGTCCTTGGGGTCGCAGCCCCGGGACGGTCGCGTGGGTTGGATCTATGACCTCTCGAAAGGGGAGCTCATGAGGACGATGGACCAGTATGGTTTGGTGACCACTGGGACTTCTGCAGAATTACGGCAGAGATTCTCGTCGTTTTGGAAGCAGCGGAATGCCCGTCGGTACAGCGATGATAGGCTGTGTACGGCTGGGGCTGCTGCACCGACATATGTACTGCCGGTTACTACAACTATGGGGCTTCCTGACCCCCCGAGAACCGTACCTCAGGTACTGGGTAATACGGGATCAGACCAAGCCGAGGTAGTGGGAATTAGCAGGGAGTTAGAGGCGATTAAAGAGATCCTTGGGTTGTCTTCGGAGACCGATACCCGGACTCTTAGAGAACATCTGGCATCGGTGGTGCGACAGGTGAGGGGCTCGCCGAGTGATGAGGTCGGCTATGGGTTCAAAAGACCCGCCAACCCTACGTCCCCTGATGTGGCTGCTCCCATGCCTACCTTTGGGTTACCAAGTAGACCCGAGGGATGGCAGCGACCTAGTGATCATTCGGAGAGACCAGTCCGTCCTTCTAGCGTGGAGGTGCCACGTGGATCGGCTATGCTCTCGAATGAGGCCAGCAGGGTGGAGCCGAAGGACTGCTCCAAGATATGCGACATGGTCCGAAAGTGGGGTTTGAAGTTTGATGGACGTAGAGACCCTGTGTCATTCCTGGAGCGTCTTGAAGAGCTGATGGTCTCGTACGCTATATCGTCGGAGGACCTGCTCAGAGCGCTGCCGGAGCTGCTGCAAGGTTCAGCACTTCTTTGGTACAGGAACTGCAAGGAGCTCCTGTATTCTTTCGAAGCTTTCCGACATCAGTTTGAAATCCAGTTTTTCCCACCAGGATATTGGAGGAATTTGGATGAGGAGATCCGGAAAAGGACACAAGGTGAAGGCGAGCACTTCCGGGACTACGTTGTTGCCATAAGTACCTTGCTTAGGCGTAGCGGTACGTTGTCGGAGCATGGTAGATTGGACTTAATCTACAGCAACATGCGTCCGGAATA